AATTAGTCTGGGGCATGGAATTCCAATGAGTCTGGGACATGGGATTCCAATGAGTCTGGGACATGGGATTCCAATTAGTCTGCGAAATGGGATTCCAATTAGTCTGGGACATGGGGTTCCAATTAGTCTGGGACATGGGGTTCCAATTACTCTGGGACATGGGATTCCAATGAGTCTGGGACATGGGATTCCAATTAGTCTGCGAAATGGGATTCCAATTAGTCTGGGACATGGGGTTCCAATTAGTCTGGGACATGGGATTCTAATTAGTCTGGGGCATGGTATTCCAATGAGTCTTGGACATGGGATTCCAATGAGTCTGGGACATGGGATTCCAATGAGTCTGGGACATGGAATTCAAATCAGTCTGGGACATGGCATTCCAATTAGTCTGGGACATGGAATTCCAAACAGTCTGGGACATGAAATTCAAATCAGTCTGGGACATGGCATTCCAATTAGTCTGGGACATGTAATTCGAAGTAGCTAGTCTGGGATATGGAATTTCAATCAGTCTGGGACATGGAATTCCAATCAATCTGAGACATGGAATTCCAATCATTCTAGGACATGGAGTTCCAATCAGTCTTGGACATGGAATTACAATCAGTCTGGGACATGGAATTCCAATTAGTCTGGGACATGGAATTCTAATTAATCTTGGCCATGGAATTCCAATAAATCTGGGACATGGAATTCCAATCAGTCTGGGACATGGGAATTTCAATCAGTCTGGGACATGGAATTCCAAGTACTTAAGGACATGGAATTCCAATAAATCTGGGACATGGAATTCCAATCAGTCTGGGACATGGAATTCCAATTAGTTAGGGTCATGGAATTCTAATTAGTCTGGGACATGCATTCTGGGACATGGAGTTCCAATCAATTCACATTCAGTAGTGTGATTGAAGCGAACTCAAATATATTGATAGTATAAAAACTTAGAAGTTTCATTTCTGCATTTGATGCAGAATATGGAATCTATTCAGAAAATGAATTGAAAGAAATAGAAACATAAACTCATTCCTTAACCAGAAAATGGTTTCATCAGCGGACGGGGTATATTACACTATTTGTTTGACTTAATCATAAAAAATATAATGCAATATAATCCACATCTATCATGAAATTCCTGCGTCGGCTTAGTTTTGAAAAAATGAATTTAAAAAACTCCAGTGCTATATTAAACATCTTCAGAAAACACACAGTAATGTTGCGCTGCTTATGCCAGGTTTGTCGGTGCATCACCAATTTTCATAGTATTAGCCCTGATGCTGTCATCGAATGCAGCTGCCATAGAAGAAAATAGTTTGACAGATTTTGAGGCAGCATCGTGGGTATTACGAACAAATTACTGTTCAAATCTACGTCAAAATGAGGCAGAGATGAAATATCTGGTAAAAGAGAAGGCATGTTTTATAACACAGATTGTTGATAAAATTTGCTTGGAGAAACACATTTCTCGCTTTAAATTCTTTCATCATAGAGTATGTTATAGATGAAATACTGACGAGTAATGTATAACGTAGCTTTCTGCTACATTCATATCACAATTGAAACGATTCTGAGAAAAAAAATGACCGAGTATGTCAGCCATTGAGTTGCTATTGTGAACTCCCTAGGCTGATGGGAACTGACTCTCATAACAAAGCACCGGAAGAACGCGGGTTGAATCGGTAACGATCGGGCGGCGTCGGTTAGTTGTGTACCGCTGGTGATTCCGCTAGTTACGGACTGTTTTTCGCTATCCGCGTATTTTCACGAGCCCAAATGTGACTGGACTACAGCATGTGACTGGACTACAACATGTGACTGAACTACAACTTGTGACTGCACTGCCACATGTGACTGGACTACAACATGTGACTGGACTGTCACATGTGATTAGACTACAGAGTGTGACTGGACTACAACATGTGACTGAACTACAACATGTGACTACACTGCCACATGTGACTAGACTGCTACATGTAACTGGACTGCCACAAGTGATTGGATTACATCATGTGCCTGGACTGTCACATGTGACTGTACTACATCATGTGACTGGGCTGTCACATGTGACTGTACTACATCATGTGACTGGACTACAACATGCGACTGATGAACTATAACATGCGACTGAACTACAACATGTGACTGCACTGTCATATGTGATTGGACTGCAACATGTGATTGGACTACAACATGTGACTGTACTACAACATGCAACTGGAGTACAACATGTGATTGGACTACAGCATGTGACTGAACTACAACATGTTACTGGACTGCAACATGTGACTGGACTACAACATGTGAGTGTACTACATCATGTTACTGGACTACAACATGTGACTGGACTGCCACATGTAACTGGACTGCCACATGCGACTGGACTGCAACATGTGATTGGACTACAGCATGTAGTCTTTCAACATGTGATTGGACTGCCACGTGTGACTGAACTACAACATGTAACTGGACTACAATATGTGACTGGATTGCCACGTGTGACTGGACTACAACATGTGACTGGACTCTCACATGTGTCTGGACTGCAACATGTAACTGGACTGCCACATGCGACTGGACTGCAACATGTGACTGCACTGCCACATGTGACTGTACTACATCATGTAACTGGACTGCCACATGCGACTGGACTGCAACATGTGATTGGACTACAGCATGTGACTGGACTACAACATGTGACTGGACTGCAACATGTGACTGGACTACATCATGTGACTGGACTACAACATGTGACTGGACTGCCATATGTAACTGGACTACAGCATGTGACTGGACTACAACATGTGACTGGACTCTCACATGTGTCTGGACTGCAACATGTAACTGGACTGCCACATGCGACTGGACTGCAACATGTGACTGCACTGCCACATGTGACTGTACTACATCATGTGACTGGACAGCAACATGTGACTGGACTACATCATGTGACTGGACTACAACATGTGACTGAACTACAACATGTGACTGGACTGCCACATGTGACTGGACTACAACATGTGACTGGACTGCAACATGTGATTGGACTGCAGCATGTGACTGGACTACAACATGTGACTGGACTACAACATGTGACTGCACTGCCACATGTGACTAGACTACAACATGTGATTGGACTGCCACGTGTGACTGAACTACAACATGTAACTAGACTACAACATGTGACTGGACTGCCACATGTGACTGGACTACAACATGTGACTGGACTCCCACATGTGAAAGTATGAGTTCGTATTACATGTGACAGCATATACGTATAAGCAAGTATTACGTATAAATGAATATGCTAAAAATGGCGGCCATTTTGAAATTCAAAATGGCGGCTGAAGATGCTTATTAAAAAAATGGCATCTAACTTTTTTGAAATCAGCACATCAAAATTGATAAAGTAAGTCAATAAAATCTATTTTGGCACAAAAATCTAGCTAGCCCCAAATATCAGACATAGGCAGATGCACTAATATCAATATTTCAATTTCAAACATGCTTTATAACGTCCATTATTATACATGGATGGAGCATAAAAACAACCGCTTCTGTTCATATCTATTCAAACTAATTAATATTTAAATATGAGGTTCATATGCCGCATTTACTTTATTAGAAGTTCGTATCCATTAGAAATGTGTGTATATGAACTGTATATTAATTATTTGCTTATTTGTATCATAGCCACACCTCTGTCATTTTCATAAGTGCATGTGCTACTAATAGAGCATTACATTACATGTGTACTGCAGTATTCATAAATACAAGCTTGCTGAATAATGTTGGAATCGACTGCAATCATTTGCAAATAGAACAAAATAGTCTCTTCTTTAGTTTTAGTTTTGACATTAATTACATTACTTGAATTGCCAAGGAACACTTTGGCACTCGATAATTACAATCACAAACTAGAATATTGAGCTAAGAAACAACTATGCAAACAGTAATTGACAATGCCAGTCTCTGTTCTGTATTTAATGCCAATGTGTGGATGTACGTTTCGCTATTAAATTGTATGGTACTACTCTACAATGGGCTGAACGTATTTGCTTGAATCACTAAAGAATGTAATGTGCAACCAAAATCTAGAACACGTTTACAGACTACGACATTTATCACTAAATTGCATAATGAAAGTAATTTGGTTACCAACTATTCATAAATCAGAAAGCCCTATTAAACCAGATAAAAATGTTAGTAATAGAACGATTCCCACAGTGGCGGCGGCACAGGGGGAAGAGGGGCAATCGCCCCCTCGAAAAAAATAATATTGCGGGCGTCGCTCCTCGAAAATAAAATTGAAGCTCTTTGTGTCAGCAAAATTTGACCCTCAAAATGCAGGAAATAGGGTTTCAGAGGGTCTAGATTACAACATTTTAAAGGGGAGAATGCCCTCGGACCCCTTAGTAAGGCGCAAGGGATGGTGAGAAGATTTCGCCCCCCCCCCCCCATGCAAAATTTCGTGCCACCGTCTCTGTACCAGAATTTCATCACATAAATTACCAATACCAGGTTGTACCTCCAGCGTATGTACGCTACGTTCTAACCAGTCTGTTGGTAATGAATTGTATGCGCTAATTGAGTGTGACAGTCTTTCCGTATCAAAACAAAAAGTGTTTCTTCCTCTGCTAAGTACAAATCAGGGTGTTATTATCAACAATCAGGGCAAGTTTGTTTATAATATTTTGAATGTTAACGAACAAACAGACAATTTATTATTTATATGTATTTTAATGTATTGGATCAAAACTTCTAGGGATGTATTTGGGTAACACCAAAACTTTTTCAGATAGTAACTAAAATGGATTTTTGGGCGCATTTTGCTACTGTGAGATCCTACAGAGGTTGTGAACTTGTAATCAACAATTTGCTTTTATAACAGTTATTTTATCGCTTATATAGTTTTTCCCAACCCCTGATATTGGCTACTCACTCTGAAGATCCTTTATAATAAATCAACACCGATCTAGTCACCTCATTTTCAAGTTACATTTTTGCCATTGTACAAACTTGAAAAGGGGGCAATTTACGACGTCTTAACGGTTATGAACAAAACTCGTCATCCAAAAAAACCTGACACTGTGTGGCGTGATCTAATGTCCTTGCCTTCAGATATTAAGAACGTTCGTTTATTGGCGCCCTCTGTCGTTTCATTTCTCGCATTTCTAAAAATCTTTTACAGCCTGGTTTGCCGGTTTCTCCGGTGGTTCATTATTCTATCCCGTCAACACTCAAGTAAATTTACTCTCGTTAAGTATTTTCCTTGTTGTCATTATCACTGCAAATATTGTTATCACTATCTCCCGGCGAAATAAACAGGAAGGAAGCTCAGTTGGAAATGTTCAAAACTCGCATCGAAAGGTTTGAGCACATTCGAGTCGCAAATCACGCTCACTGATTCAATGGAAATGCAAAGTTACAAGAGAACTTGAATTCACACTATTATTTTGAATTGGTTGGTTGTTATACTTTTCTCGAACTTCGTTGTTCGGTTTAATCTTGCTGTTGCCTCTATGTGTCTCGCACACCTCATATTGCTAACATTAAACAAAAACCACTCTAGCGCAATGAATTATGGCGAAAAAGAAGCAACGAACGCAGATAGATATCCAAATGTCTTCTCTAGTATGGCTGAAGCTACTGAACTGAAATTTGCTGTGTATGTACTCTGCAACACTATAAACATATTTACCAGACTTGTGATTTGCCAACAATTATGCAAAAAGGGTGCGAAAGAAAATGTTAATCAAAGATTGTCAGGTCATGTGACTTGTGTGCCTAAAGAACATTTTTAGTTCCCGTTCGAACGAAGTTCGAAAACGGGGACTTATAATTTGTCTTCGTCCGTCCGTGCGTCCGTCTGTCCGGAGTCATATTTCAGAATCATTTGGACCGATTCCGTTCATTCTTTGCATGTGCCTAGTACTTTGTGTGAGACATATGCACATGCAGTGGTTTAGCGATTCGATCGAAAATGGCCGACTGGTGCGTCCGTCCGTCCGGAGTCATATCTCAGAATCCCTTGGACCGATTTCGTTCATTCTTAGCATGTGTCTAGTACTTTATGTGGGACATATGTATGCACATGCAGTGGTTTAGCGATTCGATCGAAAATGGCCGACTGGTGCGTCCGTCCGTCCGGAGTCATATCTCAGAATCCCTTGGACCGATTCCGTCCATTCTTTGCATGTGACTAGTACTTTATGTGGGACATATGCACATGCAGTGGTTCAGCGATTCGATTCAAAATGGCCGACTGGCCGACTGACGTGTTAGGATACATGCCCTCCTACCTTCCGTCTGTCCGTCCGGAGTCATATTTCAGAATCCTTTGGACCGATTTTGATTCATGTTAGGATACATGTCCATGACAATTTCTTTCGCAACAATACAATTACAAAGAGTTGCAATTGCTGTATCCCCTATATCTGAATCTCAAATTCGGTCATTACACATGTTAAGATTTATTGTAGGGCACCAATGTGCTGTTGTCTTGGCAAGTCTATGTGACTGTGACCTGTGTAACCCCACGTGACTTCCATGTACTTCATGTCATTATTGTATTATTAATACAATATACTGTGTTATATAGCGTATACTGTGTTAAAATGATTCGATTATCAAAGTGTTCCCTTGCCCCGCACCAGTCCCACTTAGTGATATATTTTCACTCCAAAGAACCCCCTACCTGTTGACGGGAAATACGCTACCTGTCCTCACCTATCAACAAACAGGGCAACACTTTACAACATTACAGTTATTCATATATTAACGACCGTTTATGATCATCTGATATTTTAGTCACACACTACTGGTTTTCTATGCCTCATATAGCATCATGTCCTTATCTGTAACAGTGCTGTAATATTGCCTATCAGTGGGGTCACATGACCATATAAGATATGTTCTTCATATCTCTTGTCAAATACCTTCATTATAGCACTGATTGCATGGCCATATCTGTAACAGTGCTTCAGTTTTGAGATATTACAGTTATGTATAATAATGAGATATATTTCAGTCACGTATGTTGTTCATTGGAGCACTGTTTGTAAGTTGATCAGTTCTGCAAAAGTCATGGATCTTTACCAGCATGCTAAATTTTAAGGCAGTACGCCCAACTGTTCTCAACAAAATTGATTTAGAACAACGGCATATATGAAAAACAGCAAATTACAAAATAGTTTCACGCATGCGACTCGAAACTCAAATAAGCAGTGTAGACAAAAATAAGGTTAAACCTATAGGGCTCGAAATATATAAATATGTGACAGCTAAAGTAACATGATCACTAAGAATTGTATTCGTTATATCGATAGAGCATGTGCATATAAAGTACGAGAAAAATAGCACAGAATTATTTGTCTTAAATTCAAGATGGATGCCAACCACGTGACCACTATACCATAAGACTTTATTAGAATGCCAACACTTTCACAGCGTTCAAATGGCGCTGAGGGAAAAGGACAGCGGAATATTAAATTTGTAAAGTACATCGGTTTTTTTTGGGGGGGGGGGGTCAATTCAAGTTGTGGCCCGGCAATAATTTGTTTGGAATGTCGATCGTCGTTGGTTTGTCCACACTGAGTTTAGAACGGCGTCGGTGCTGACGTCTGTCATTCAACACAATCAGCCGTAACAGAACAAACATTGACCGTAATTCATTGGAATCATGTTCAGTAATTTGAGGGCCGAAAACGCAAATAATTAAACAAATATAAATATATATAGAACAGAACTAGAGTTGTCCCAGTGAAACAGTAAATTTCAGCTATCTATTTCTCACCTTGAAATGAAAAATAAGTACATAAAAAGAGCATCGAAGAGCATCGGGTAATATACTAATAGCCATTCTTACCAATCGCTAGCTTTATTTTATTTGAACTTGTTTTTCCGGTATTTGTTGGCAACTTCATTGCTAAAATGGTTGAAAATGTGGGTGTGGTTCTCTCGCATCATGATGTTGTAACAAACCGTATTGAAAGGTTGTCGAACTACCAAACCACCGGTGTCAATTTACATAGTTTTTTTTGGCTTCATGTTTATTTAGTAGAGAAACATCAGCATATTTGACAAAGAGGATTTGGCCTCAGTTCAAAAAGAAAAAAATAGGTTATTTTAAGCCCCATTGTTGACAAGGTCGAGCGATATTGAATGTCTCAACGTAGTTTTGAAGGCCTATAACGGCGTCTTGTAGAGAAGAAAATTTCTGAAAAACTCAGGTTTTACAGATTGTACC